CCCCAAAACCCCAAAACCCCGATTGAGTAATATTTGATTGATAAATTAGGTTATTAAAAATTCAAAGTTTAAAATTCAACTAGAATATATATTTTCAGTATTTCTAAGCCTATTTATAAAAATGTAAAATTGAATTTTCAGCAAAAGCTTGTACAAATATTAATATCATTGTCATTTTGAATAAGTTACAAACGCTATAAAATTTTTCTAAGTTTATTCAAATCAAGAGGTTTCGCAATGAAACCATCAAACCCCTTTGCTACATAATTACCGAATTGACTCTCTGGTATTGCCGTGTAAGCAAAAATCAAATTATCATTTTAAAAGTGTTACCCGTAAATTTTTCTTATTTTCTTTGTAGTTTTTACACCATCCCATCCACTCATATTAATGTCCATCAATATTAAGTTATACATAGGTACATTTTGAGGGGCATACCTCATTTAATCAACTCTTTTCTAGACTACTTACAATGCTTAATGACCACTGAAAGCTACATCACACTGCAAGTCGAATATCTGCTCTAGCATTATTTTTATTATTTCAATGTTGAACACTGTATCATCTACAACTAAAATTTACTTTTATGGTCCAGATTCGTCAGTTAGTAGAATTTCTTTGAAAGTTTCACTCTGAATGAGTTAATTAGCAAAGCTTATATTGCTTGTTTTGTTTCTCATAGTGTTTATATTGAATGATACTGAGCTTTGTAACTTGAATTTTAAATTTTTAGTTGCTGATCGATCTGTGAGCATCATTGGATTTTCAGCTATTCTAGATTCTAGTGGACCTGTAGGAATAAATACATCAGTCCACAAATACTCTGCATCAATATCTTCTAAATTTTCATCTAGATCAAGAAGAGACTAATCGGAATGTAAAATGTGAACATCGAGCCTTAATTTCTTTCCGTCCATTCTAGAAATAGTCTACCTTTTTGCATTTTGCAGAGTATATTTGAAACAGACAGGCCTAGTCCAAGACCCTGTTAGTTTATATTGTCATTTGATATCTTAAATTTTCTAAAGGGATTAAACAGCTCTGAGCAATCATTTGCTGAGATACCTTGGCCAGTATCCTTTACACTTACTAATAGAAAGTATTATGAATTATGATTCTCACTTGATTCACTTATTTTTCCTAAATTAGCTTTCAAGTTTGATTCTAATGACTATTTAAGTTCGAGAAATTATTAATTTGTAATTATCTTAGAACTTATTTCAATACTACCTTATTCAGTATGCTTTATAGCATTACTCAATAGATTGTATAGGATTAGACTAAATCTTTCATCATCAATGAGGATTTTTGAAGTTTTATTTTGAATATTGAGATTAAATTGCAGGTTCTTTTAGTTTATATCGTTTTCAAACAAATTAACTACTTTGCTGTAAATATCCTAGTGACTTTTTTCTTTTAGATCTGTGGTAAATTACTTGAGTCTGATTTTAGAATGTTCTAGTATGTTCTGAGTGCAGTAATACAAGTCAAATATGCATTTTCTCATGAGATGTAAGTATTTTAGAGCTTGAGGTAAGTGGCCAACCTCTTTTTAAATTAGTTAGGAAATTCCAATCAGCCCATTAATAGGAGTAAATATATTGTGAGCAGTTGAATTAATGAAAATGTTTGTGAACTGCTCTCTATTTTTAATTTTTTATAGTTTCTTAAGAGTTGATATCTCCTTAAAAACAATAAGAATCCTCTCATCCTACCAGATATAACTCACACTGACTTGCAAAGAAACTCCAATAGGTTCCACTTTGAAATAGTAATTGTATTATTGATTTTGATCTTACTCTCTAATCTTTCTTATCCAGTCTGCAAAAGTTATTTAGGCACCCACTTGGTGGTTAAATTCATGTCTTAACTTCATACAACCGAGTAGATCGTAAAGTTTGCCACCAGGCAATTCTCTAGGATTATTTAATTCTGAATCATAGTAGGATATCTGCATGGAAGATTTCATAAGTTTGGTTTGTAAGTCTTGATATTTTTACAAGAGATTTTAGATCATTTATTTGAAGGATTTGTTTTGAAAAATTAAATCCTAATCTTCTTTTTATTGCTTGATAAAAAACACTCCATCTTGTATAGTTTCAAGGACATTGATAAATTTTTGCCTCTAAAATTCTTTTCTTGTTTTATTATCAAATTCAATTCTTGATATTTATTCATTTCTTCTAAGTGATACCCCAATAATTAAAGTACCTAATAGAGAAAATGTAAATGAATCGTTTGTGATTCCGTAGTCTATATCTCCATACTTGTGATATAAGTAAGACCAATGTAGTACTTAGAGGCCAAGGTATTAAAATGTTTTAGGCAACCAAGTTAGAGATGAATTGTATAAAATCACAACATTGTAAATTTATTGAAGACTCGGATAAGGGTTAAAAATCTTAGATTGCTGCTATGCTTCAATAAGCCTCAATGTTGATATCAAAGTCCAAATAGGCTAAAGTATGAATACCTCATAAATGTTGGAATAGAATGGACTTTAATTGGATAGTCTCATAGCCATTAGAGAGAGACACAAGCAGAACAACCCCAAAGCTGTATCCTGCATATAATTTTCTCTAATCATGTATTTTCATATTGTTAAGATTATAGTGATAAGTATTGTCATGTAATGATATGCCTTGATAGTCTATTTGTAGTCTTATTCTCATGATTTAATGAACTCCTCATTTTTAAAACTGGTATTGAGATATTTTAGAGATATGAAATTTTCTAAGGACTCTTTTATGCTATCAATTCTCTATTGAAATAATACCATATATAGTTAATAATTTCTGGATTAATTTTATAAAATTGAAAAAATATGAATATATCATATATGTGGATGTGAGGGGTTTTGGGGTTTTGGGGTTTTGGGGTTTTGGGG